TCCTCACCGGGCTGGCAGGGTGGCCCCATAATCACCAAGCTGAGCCTCGTGTCCTGTCCTTTGCCCATGTGGAGGGTGCAGGATTTACAGGCTGAGACCCACAAGGAATGTATCCACCCTTTTCCCGATGACAGGAGGGTGGGTACAGAGGATTGGCTTGCCCAGGCACTGTCCAGCTCTCAGTCTCTCTAGTGCAGGTCAGAAAAATCATTAAGACTGCTGATAGTGATACGTATTTTTTAATTGCTGGAGGAGATGTCTCCTGGGAATGTCTCCAAACAGTGTGGCATTTCTCCAGCCCTTTGGCAGGGGCTGTGTAATCTTGAGAGCTGTCAGAATCTGAGATTTCGGAAGCACTTGACCGTTGGTGGATGTTGAATGCGTGAGTGAGGCAGTGTGTCTGAGCAGGGTGGTCGATGGTCAGGAGCTTTGGTGAGATGCTTCTTGCTTGCTGTGGTGGGTGATTCAAAAACTATTCCTCTCCCACTTTTCTGGCTTTTTTTTTCTTTTACATATGTCTTGATGATTTGTTATCAGCTGAGCAAGGAAAAGAAATACAGAGTCTTCATCTAGACTCCACAATTTATCTTGTGGAGGATGTTTGTACTGTCTACTGGATAATTCTCTCATTACACAAGAGAATTACACATTCATACAAGTGAGAAATAATTGTTACAAGTGTTGCTCTAATTTGCTGTTTAATCAGAGCCAAATGCAGTCTGGGGAAGTGGCTGCCATAACGCCAAGGTCATGAGAAGGGATCTGATGTTGTTCTGGCTAAAAGATGATGTGAAACACTGGTGTGAATCCTTGACTTCAGGTTCTGCCTTGCTTTGTGATTTGACATTTGACTTCTTGTGCAAGAGTTGTCTCAGTATTGGGGTTGAGTCCCCAGATCTCAGCTTTGTGGGGTGGCAGAGGGGTAGGGGGTGGCTGCTGTGAGCACTGCCAGTGGTGCTGGAGCTCTGTGAGCATTGCTTGATTTGGTTTTGTTGCAGGATGGTGCTGTTGTGTTTGTTGTGGCCGTTTGGAAATCCTCTGAAGGAAGTGTCCAAGGCCTCAGTGTTTGAAGTGATTCTCATTGGGCGAGAGGTGGGAAATTGTGTCAGAAGTACTGAATGTCAGCTGTCAGTGTCCTAAACAGGAACACTTTTCAGTTAGATGCAGAAGAAGTATTGTCCTGGAGCCTTTGGGAGCAATTTCATGTTGTGTGGGCCTTGTTTGGACACTGGATCCCTCGGGTTCAGAGCTTGAACATTCTTTATTTCCTGTGCTCTGCCTGGTTATCACCAAGTAGAGGCTCTTCCTTTGCCATGGTGTCCTTTCTCATCATTCCTTTAGACTAGGCCACCAGAAATAGTCCTGAATATGCAGAGTTGACATTTGCACTGAGCAGCACCATTGCATGTCATGGGAGTGTGCTCAGCTTCACTTCCACAGAGAGGTAACAGCCTCTCAGGGCTCTGAGGACGTTGGGAGGTGACAGCGCTGCACCTACTTGTCATGTAAAGTAGATCAAGGCAGAGATGTGCATTCAGCAAGATTTTCCTCTAATCCTTTTTATATCCCAAGGACCCTGGAGTGATTCAAACACCTGGAGCCTATATCTCACCCATTTTGTGTAAACTAATATTTAATATCTGTTGCTTGTATGCTTAGGGTCATTCATTATAACATCTTTGTATTTTCCATAGGTTTCTGATAGTTATCTCTAAGAATCAGAATAGGCACTGCTGGCTTCTGTGGCATGGAGAAGCCCTAATAAAAGGTTGTGTAAATCCTTCAAAGACAGGGAAAAAGTAAAAATAACCTCCTTGCTTTCCCTCTGCAATAGCCCTGCAGGCTAAAGCAGCAAGAGAGCATGTTGCTCTTTTTGTCCTTTTAATCTTGTTTGTGGCAAACATACTTTGCTTCTTCCTGAGCAACAACAACCCATTCTATCCTAGGAGGGGTCACTCTGTGTATATGGGGAAAAAAAGGCATCTGGTGTCTTGGTGTGGTGCCAGTGTTCACACTGCCTTTCCAGAGATTCCATCTTTGTCTTCGCTCCAAGAAGATGCTAACCTTAAAATAGAGAATACAGAGGGACTCAGCCATCCAGCACCTGCTGATGCTCATGGAAAAAGCCTTCGTGCACACAGCAGTCAGACCTTGCTTACCTTGTTGGTGCCTCTTCGTATGTTTTAAATTTGACCTGAAACTTTATTATGAAGATAAATAACAGAAGACAACTCTTGAACACTTCATCAGCAAAACACTTATAAGCTCAACATATTCTTCAGTGTTGAACAAGGGGATCCAAGTCTACATTTAATCTACATCCAGGATGACTAATCACTGTGTTCATATGTTGTTTGTGGTGATGCTGTTTATATATAGCAGCACACTGGCTGCAGAGACACCACTTGGTGCCTCAAGACTGGTGACTTGCACTGGTGGATCAGATCGAAAATGTTTCTTTTCTCTCCACAGGTTTGGCAATAAAAATAGAACTTTCTGATGTGTGTCAAAACCAATCTGATCTTAAAGCATTATTTCTTATACTGCATCTGATCTCTTGATGCCTTATCCAAGGAGGCTTTAGACTTTAAGAAAAAGTAGCATGACCTACGTCATGACTGTGTGCTTCACATGAAGGCTCGGCCGCTGTAACTGGAAATCAGATTCTGCAGTACTTGTTTCCTGGTCTGTAGCAGATGTGAAGTGTGGTTTAACAGCATTATAAAACCACAGGTGACTAGAAAAAGAAGCTACAGGAAATGACTTGCAGGCTGAATTCTGTGCTACGGTAAATGCCTCCTCTTAGCTGGGAGTGGCTTAACTTCTGCCATTTATTTTGTTCCATCTGGATCACACTTATATTTAGGGATGAAGGGAAGATTTGTTCTTAATGAGAGCCTACACTTCTGCCCACACTTCCTGGGGAGAGTAGTGTTCAAGCAGTCTTCAACGGTGCAGTTTTAAGGTTGAGTATTAAAAATACACTTGATATTTCTCCTTCCCCAAGAACCTATGGTTTTCTGTCCACCCATCTGTTCTTCACCAGGACCATGGTGCTCTCACTGCAGATTCAACACTGCCAAGAGATACCCTGGTGCTGGGGTTTTGTTTTGGTGGATGCAGTTTAGGAGAGTTTGAGTGTGTTGTCACAAAATCACTGTTCCTGACAGTGTCCCTTCATTCTGCTTTAGCTGTTTGTGCATTACTGGACCTTGGAGCTGCATCCTCAGAAGGCAAAACCAGAATCTGCTGGGAAACTTGAGTGCCTTCCTCAGAAACATCATGTTAGGAAGGAGGGTGCTTAGGAATTAATGAAGTGCCATATTTGGTGAACATCTTGGCAGGAAGAGTCAGACTAATACACAAAATATGGCTAAGGGGAAACATATTTACACATCACAGAGCGGTAAATATGGTTAATAGCTGAAGTGTATTTGGAGCCTCATATCTCAAAAAAATCCAACAAACCGACAACAGCAAAACAGTAACAAGGCAAGTAATCATACTGTCAGGCTACTGTAGTAAATGCACTCCTTGGGGATGTTTTTCCAGCCTAAAATACCAGTGCCATTAGCAGAAGAGGGAAAACCAGTATGCCTGTCCCTATAAACAGCCTTTCAAGATGTGTGAAAACTTGATTCCAAAAGAATAAGTTAAAAATTGCGCCTATAAGCAATAGCCTTTTGGGTGTAGTATTTCTTGCAAACTGATGATATTCCTGGAAGGCCAGAGGGGAATTTTCTGAGTTTGCCACTAAAATACTTTGTTAAGAAAAGCCTTTTCTTCAAAGAGGGAAATGCCTTTTAGGGGGGCTGCAGAAGGGAACCCAGGGAGCCTTGAAATACACAGGCCTGTGTGTAATGGCCAGGTGAAAATTTCTGACCCCTCTCAGAAGCAAGTGGCTGTGCCATGTGTGGAGCACAGTGGGAACTGGAGCTGGAGCTCAGCCTTTCCATTTCCTAGGGCAGACAGAGGACACCTGGCTGAGGAGATTGGGTTGGTGGTGTTGGGCACGGGAGAGAGCAGGGTGCAGCAGCAGCCTCTCATGAAGTCCTGGGGGTGGCTGGGCAGGAGCAGCCCTTGCCCCAGAGCAGGCAGGTTTGGGTACCCTCACTCCCAACCCCTTGTGCAGGTTTCCTTCTGATGGTGCCATGAGGTCATGAGCAGCTCAGTTCTGGACACTTTTTCTCAGCTTTGTTCTCCTGTTCAGTTCCTTGCTTTCAAATACATGTTTCAGAGCTCAGGTAGCAACACCCAGAGCTGGAGAGACCTGCTGCCTTGCGTGGTCTGACCGTCTGCCTTCCTTACAGCTTCCTTCAATGATCCCTGATTTTCAGGTGCCAATGGCTGTTTTATGGATTTGGACAGATTCCTGTTTGCAGTCTGAGATTTTCATCTTCACAACAGTATGAAATATGGCTGTGTTTGGTAGCTTGAAGACTGTTCTCTGCTGTTTCTGTGCTACAGCACTTGAGCTTGGTAGAGGCAATGTGTTTGGGTTGTCCAGTCACTAGCGTAGGTAGAGTTTTCCTAACTCTTTCTAGGTAGTTTCTGTAATTGCAGCCACGAATGGGAACTACATGTGAGTTGCAATTCACATGAAGTGAATTGTAATAGTCTTATAGGAGGAGGTGTCATTGATACATTCCTTTGCAACAGAGGATTCTTTTTGTTTTCAGGGTAAGGTGAGACTTGAGTTTCTACCTATTTTCTCAAGAAACAAATGTTTGGTCACCTCTTTATTTCAGCAGCTGTGTTTGGGTATGTGTTTAATATTTTTCTGATGGGGCTACGTTCGAGTATGCGGCAAATGAAACTTTCTGTTTGTGCTATCTGGATTTGCTTGGGAGAAGAGGGAAGCATGGTGATGTGATTGACATTATCCCTGCAAATCTCTGCTTGGACTGTGCAGTTGATTCTACTTGGGAGGTCTTAAGGGTTTACACAGAGAAGAGTATTTTGCTTGAAAATGACACAAGTATTTCATTGTATTTCAGGGTGAAGGCTGTCGTACTGTCCCACTTTCCGGACACGTAGGATTTGACAGTTTGCCTGACCAGCTGGTTAATAAGTCGGTTAATCATGGGTTTTGTTTCAACATCCTGTGTGTGGGTGAGTATTTCCATGTTGGGAAGTTCTCTTGCTGAAAAGCAGCTCTCTGCAGCTGGATGTAGCTTGTAGGTGACAGTGTTAACAAGGTAGCTTTGATTTAAATTTCCCCAACTGTTCTATTTTCAGTAACAAGATTTACTGGTGCTCTGGGAAATCCCTGCTGGGGTTCTGCAGTATGGCTTTCTACCAAGCAGTGACATAAAATGCCTAAAATCACAGGCTGTTATTATGATCTTTATTTTCCTAGTATGTTAGAATTTCCTATTTTTAAAAGAAAATAGGTACTCATGCCGGAGTACTTTGTTCTGAGGTTTGTTTGGTTAGGTATTGTATTATTATTATTTTAATAAAATACTGGTCATGCTCCTCTTAAATCATTAAAAGCTATTTTTTTCTCCTCCCTTCTGTGCATACTTAAATTAAAATAGTGTCTGGCCAAGCCTTAACTGGTCAGATGATTATCCAAGCTGCCATGTGGTTTGGATCACAGCTGGGGCCTGGCACTGTAGCAGGACTTGGTGTCTGGCCCTGTAGCCCTTTTCACAGGTCTTCCCCAGGGTTAGGATCCAAAACAGTCCCTCCTCGGAGGCTCTCCTAGGTAACAGAATAAAACCTTGTATGGCGTTGGTACAGCAGTTTGGTAGCGTGGGTAAGAAAATTAATAATAGGGAATTAATAATTGTCTGATTGGTTTACTGATGCCAGTGCCCTGCCTGTGGGAGCAGGAGGTTATTGTGTGGCCATGGCTGCTTGGAGTAAGCCCTGTCTGCTGATGATCCCAGCAGTGCCTGGCATGACAGGGGGAGAGCAGCAGCTGTGGCTGCCTCCTGGGGGCTCAGCTGGTGGTCAGCTCTGCATCCACACAGAGGTTTTCTGTCCCCTCCAGTGAGAGGTGCAGCGCATGTTATGAGCCTCGTGTTTGTCCATGACAGGGTTAAGTCTGAAACGAGAGTAGTAGAGCGAGGAGAGGGGAACTGAGCCCTGTTAAATGGAGCTGAGGAGAAAATTTTCCTTACAATGGCATTCTTGTGAGATGATAAACTTTGCTGACAAGTGGAGGTCACTGTCAGGCTGAGTCGCTGGGTGATTTCCACATTACGTGAATGTGATATGACCTAGTGAGACTTCTGTCCCCAAGACTGAAGTCTTGAAGTGTTTCTTTTTCCACTTACTGAGCTGCAGTGGTTTTTTTGTACAAGTTAAAGGTGTAGCAATGGGTGCCTCCTGGGGTTATATGTTCACTTTGATGTGTGGAGAGGAGTTGAATGCCTTTGCTTTCCTCTTTGCAGGACAGAAATGGAATACATTAATTGCTTGTTGATCTGAGTAACAAGGACTCACCAAGATCAGTGTGTGTGCATTAGTTACTAATGTCAGTCTTTTGTGAATAGTAATAATAAAGTCAATCTTGAGATAAAGAAACTTTATAGAAAAATTTGGTAAACTCCATTAGAAAAAGATGTGCAAATCTAGAATTGATGAGGTCAGGATTTAAAGTATTCTTAAGAGTTGTTTGTGCCTCTATTAACTTGTGGAAACAGACTTAAACTCTTAAATGTCCTGGAGAAAGAAAACAATACGTCCCAGAGTCCTTCTGTCATTTATTGTGTTTGGTCTCACTTGTACAGCAGGAGTTTGGGGTTAGAAATTGGAAGAACAGGGAGCAAATGAGTGTTGGAGAGGACAAAACAAATAGATGAACTGATCCCATAGACAGGCCACTAGGCATGACAGAAAGGCACTTCATTGCCCCCCATTTCTCAGCTGTGTGTGGCATCTGTTGGAGGAAAAATCCAGTGACAGTTTTACTCTGCGTCATACTGGATCTGAGCCACCGAGTCCTCCAGCTCCTGGTGGAGAAGCCAAGGAAAGCTTCAGAAATGACTCTCAGCAGCACGTCCAGAGCAATTTTTATCCTGTCTCCCCTTTGAGACTAGAGCCAAAGATAGAATAAATGAGAAAACCTTTCACAAGTTAGGGCTTGTGGATGCTTTCTCTGATCTTTTGTTCCTCAGCACAGCCTTTTGCTTCCCTAATACATTGTTAGTTGCCTCTTACTTAAGTTCAAAGGCTGGAGAAGTATTTAATGGCTGAGACTTTTTGTGCTGACTATATTTCTCAGTGAGATCAGGCAACAAGAGGGAGAGTAGAATGCCATTTTTTAATGTAAACTTTCGGTTTTGGCCAGGGTATATTATAGTTGCATTGAACTAGTCTCCCATTATAAGCAGGAATTTCCCCCTTCCTCTCTCCTGGGCTTTGCAGGGGATTTGTTCTAATCAGCCTATTCAGTGCAATGAGAAATGACTATTGTGTGGCAGAAATGCCTTCTTCTTTCCCAAGGGCTGTACCATCACTGCCTGAGGTCTCTCACTCCAAACAAGTGAGCCCCATGGTGTTCAGGAGTTTTCACGGGATGGGAAAGGGAGAGATGTGCACAGATTTCCTGGTTTTCCAGGTTTTCCCCTCTCCTCTGAGGTGCTTTGGTATCTTTTGTGAGCCCAGATTGCCCTTCTTGCCCCTGCAGCCTTTGCCTTGCAGTGGGTGGATTGTGTGGTGTCTCTGTAAGCCTGTCAGATGAAAAGAACTATTTTTTTCTCTCTCCTTGAGAGATGGCCTTATCAGGCTGAGCTGCCTCAGGGCTTGTCTCAACAAACCTGCTACATTGGATTAGCTCCCATTTCTACACATGAAAAGGCTGTGCATGCGTATACATTTTCTTTAAAATGGAATTACTTGATAGCTGGAGCCACGGTTGTTAATCTTGTGAAGGACAGGTGCTGCTCTCTCATGAAGGGGCACTCTTGTGAAAGCTTCTCCTTGCCTTTGAACAGGGGAAGACTCGAAGGACTCCCCTGTCCTCCCACAGAGTCGATTCAGGATGATACGATTGGGGCCTCTTAAATCCTGAGTGATGTGGAGAAGGGAGCAAGTGAGCAGTTGCTGCTTGTTTCATGTAACACATATTAGGGAAAATCAAATTAAATTGCCAGGTACAAAACAAGGAGGTACAGCTTTTGTGGTGTATAATTCAGCTTACTGCTGCAGGGTGCTCAGGATGTCAAAATTTCTGTGGAAGGAAGAAGCCTTGAAGGTTCATTCAGCACAAAGATACCTATCTTACTTTGGGAAGCTAGGAGCTTGTCCCAGCTGTAGTTTTGCAAGTGATGCCACTGTTCCATCAATGTGGGATTTGATGAACTGTTTCCATAGAGCATTGAAGACACTATGTGCACATGCAGTCAGAGCAAGGAACATGTCTCAGGAGAGCAAGAGGAGGTGTGGGGAGCCCAGCACAGTTGGCTCTAGCCTGGCAGGCTGTCGAGTGTTAAGAGTGGATGGTGCCTTCCAAGCACAGATGTAGGGCTGCTGTGTGTCCAAATGTGACTGGTGTGGTGTGTCTTGTCAGTTTGTGTTTTCCTGTCTTTGAAAATCATCAGGCTTAACAGCAAAACTCCATTCCATGATGAAAGGCACAGCACCACAGCTTTTCAGTAGGTGTCAGAGCTTCCTGGTGCAGACCTCTGCCAGTGAAGGTCACCCTCCCTGCCCTGCCCTCTGCTCAGTGTTTTGTCAGCCCTGTTTCAGGAGGACAGACCACTGCTGAGTTGCCTAATCACTAAGTACAGTTTGGGAGATCAAATCATGTGTTCCTGTAAGCCTGACATCAGGAAATAATCTCCCTGCCAAGGATGCCTCACACATGGTTTGCGCACATTGCTGCTTTTTTTTCCCCCCAGTAATTCTGCCTCTTTTAATCGCCATTCATCGTTTCTGCTTTTTGGAGAAGATTCCAGTGCTGTTGGCTGGAACAGGCACAGACCGCTTGTCCTTTTCATCAGACCATCTGGTCCATCTGGACTCCTGTCCTTACAAGAAGCAGTTGGCACCATTCACATATCCCAGCCAGCAGAAAGTTGCCTCTGTGTGAGACAAAAACTCCCAGGAGGTTCAGAAATCCTCATGTCATTTCGGCCTTTAAAGTAGCACTGCTCCCTAGCTCTGGTCATATTTAACACAGCAAAACACTCGATTAGCATCTTCAGTCTTTTAACATCTCATGTCACTGTCAGTGTTAACATTGTGTTTCTTTCAGCTGAGACAGCTTCTCCATCCTCCTCTTCCCCGTCAGGCTTTAATGCCATGCCATGTCAGTGGGGTTACACAGTGCAGAGACAGGGCTACTTGCTGGCTCAAACTAATTCCTGGTGTGCAGACTTCATGTTTGAGATGCCATGCTAATAGCTGAGTGCTTTGTGTTGTAAACATGAAGTTGTAGGTGCTTGGATGGCCGTCTCCCCTGTATGGAAAAATGCCTTACCAGTTCAGATCTTCCCCTTCCAAAAGGAAAAACTGAGTATTTAAATTCAAAGTTGTCTTTGCTGGTCCTGTGTAGCTGGCATGAGATGGAGTCTCAAAAACCCTGTCTCAAAATTTTTTCTGCATCTCTTAAGCCCTTCTGGCCTCTCTGACAGTTAAAGTCATTGTTGCTGGAAACAACACATTAGATTGATTGAAAGTAGGCAATGATTAACAGGTACAGGATGTGTTTAAACAATAGTTTTGGCCTCACATGAACATCTTTCGCCCAAAAGAAGGAGGGAGACAGAAATGAAAAGTGACTTAGAGGGTGTTTTGTCTGCCTGGAAGCTGTGTGGTTTACACATGACCTTGTGTATCCGTTGCAGAGAGCAGCTCCCTGCCCTGGTGACTGCTCCCCTGTCATCCTGTCCTGCAGCCCTGCAGGCTCAGGACACAGACTGCTGATCTGCCCCTGCCCTGGGAGGCTGTGCAGGCTGGTGTGGGCACTGCTCCTGCACCCCAGGGCTGGTGAGCTGCCCTGGCCAGAGTTGTCCCATCAGGGTTCCTAGCATTCACAGGCAAGCAGCCAGCTCACCACTTTGTCCCACCCATCCCTTGGCAGGGCCTCTGGAAATGCTGCAGCCTTCTCAGGCTGTTTAGAGTTTTGTCTTTTTTTACGCTGCTGTTTTCCTGGCATCCCTGAGAAAGACCTGGCAGGTCATGCAGGGTGTCTGCTGTTAACTCACAAAATCCCTGTCCCAGCCGTGGTGATGCTCTGATCTCCTGTGCTTTCTGCACCTGCTCCCTTTTGGGGGCAAATGGTACCCACGAAGTCCCTGCAGTGACATTCCGAATCAGTGAAGGGCAATCTGGACCAGCTCATTTTTCCAGCGACAGAGGTAACCTTGTTCTTTGCTGAGTCTCCCTCTCCTGTGCTGGTCACTGGTGTGGTAGGCACAGCTGATGCATTGATGTAGCACAAGGGACTGCAGCCACGCCAGCTCCTGGTGCTGACTCCTTCTTCTCCCCTTTGGATTGCAGTCGAGATTGATGCAAAGAGCAACTGGACTGGTGGCTGTTCTGGCCATAGCTGGCATCACTTGGTGATGGACCACAAGCTCTCAGCTGGCTCCCAGTCAGCTCTGCAGCTCAAGGTGTACATTGACTGAAATGTTAATGAATCGTGCTGCCTCTGGAAAGATACTTGATACGTGCTCCTGGCAATCAGAGCCGCTCTGTTCCCAGAGCTGGGGATTTGGGGTTGGAACTAGATGATCTTTAAGGTTGCTTCCAACCCAAACCATGCTATGATTTTATGGTTCTATGTTTGCCTTGCCTTGCATGTCATGTACTTCAGCCCCGAATGAGAGAAGTCTCTTCTGGGCCCTAGAGAGGAATTTGTCTGCTTGCAGGGGTGAGGCTTGGAGATTTGGAAGGGGGAGGACAGGGAGGAGTTTCACCTTGTTGAATTGGGCATTTCATGTGAGTTTGGATCTGTTGCAGTGTTCTAAACCAACGAAAATAAGAAGCTCTTTTATTTGGAGCAAAGTAGGAAAATGATGAAGTTGTTTTGGTTGGGTGAGGGCTCAGGGAAGGAGGGGAAGCTGCTGCAGCCAGACACAGTCTCCCTGTGGTCCCACGGCAGGCTGGAGGAGCAGCCTTCACAGCGGGTGGAGTTCAGCTGGCTCCTGACGTTCCTGCAAAAGCCAGCTGGGCAGCTCAGAAATTACTGTTTCCCCAAAACACAACAGCCCTCACAGGGCAACCAACCAGACTGCGTAGGAAGTCAGATCCTTTGAGCTGGGAGAGCTGGCTCTGTTGTCAGAGCGTGGTAAGGAAGGCTGCCCTGTGGAATGCGCGGAGGGATTTGTTTTATTCTTCCTAGGATGTATCTAAAACAAATGTAAGGCTGGTCTCTGGGATTTGTCTCTGCCTTCCAGACAAGGAAATAGTTCCCTGTTGATAGATGGAATCCAAATAGCAGTTCAGTGCTGCAGAACTTTTGGAAGCAGATTTTGGAATATCATGTAGCTTGTGCAGCCCCCAAGGTGTGGGAACCAGATATTACAGAAAATGTCCCCTCTCAGGCTAGAAGGCTGACTCCCCAACTCGGTCTGTTGTGAGAACAAGAAACCAACTGCACAGCTTGCTGTAGGACTAGAACCAACTCTCAGGGTTCTGCATGGAAGGAAGCCATTTCTGTGGCTGCTTATTAGAGACATACTGATCTGGAGCACCTTTTCTTGGACATGGCAATGAGCCCCATTCACCCTCCTACTTTTTAATGAAAACAGCATCTTCTGTAGTGTGGTTGTGGGTTTATGCAGGATCTGAACAATGCTTCCCCCTTTGCCTTTTCACCTCTTTCTTTTCATCTCTATTTTCTAACGATATTAATGGCCATTAGACTGTGAAATGTAATTTGCCAGGAATACAGACCTCCCATTGTTCATGGCTCTCTGTTTACCAGACGCTCCCTTGGGAGCATGAGTTCTGCTTTCATCTGCTACAATTTCACCCCTGTTAATGTTTGGAAGCCGAAAGGCCAAGCCATATTAATATTCAACAGAACATTTCAACTCTCTTTTTCTCCAACAGGGGAAACTGGCCTTGGTAAGTCCACCCTCATGGACACCCTTTTCAACACCAAGTTTGAAGGTGACCCAGCATCTCACTCACAGCCTGGGGTCCAGCTGAAATCCAGTACCTATGACCTGCAAGAGAGCAATGTGAACCTCAAACTGACTATTGTGAGCACAGTGGGCTTTGGGGATCAGATCAACAAAGAGGACAGGTGAGTGAAGGGGGAGAGAGGCTATGTCGTGACCTGGTTTTCATGCAGGGTCTCTCCCTGTGTCCTACTTGGGCCAAACTGCACTGTAAAGTTTCCCTACTTCCTTCTTATGGGTTGTCATTGTCATATCTTTGGGATGGGACAGGTAGAAGAGATGACAGAGGCTGTAGAATGTCAGCACTGCTTAAGCTGTAAAACTGCTTTTCTCATGCTGTCAGGGCAGTATCTGCCCTGCTGGCAACCTTCTGCCCAAATTCCTCGGGTGTGGAGAGTGGAATGCTCCAGAGCATCTGGGCTTGTTTTGGCTGTGCTGTCCACAAACTGCCGACCAAACCACTGCTGTGGTCTAGTGACCACTTGGCTTAACATCCGCTTCTGGCTAGGCTCTCCCATGTTGCCAAAGGAAGCACAATAAATGTGCAGGGAGTTACCCTGGGGAAGTATCTCTGGCAGCTCACATCCCAGCATGGCTGGAGCAGTTCCACCAGACAGTCTTCAAGGTGCATCTTCACAGAGACATTGCCGATGGGATTTACTTTGTTGTGGGTCTGTTAGACTTTATTTTTGTAAGTTTTGTTTCAGGTGCACTGATGTCCTTTAGATTATGAGTCTGGCAGGCTCTGTATTTCAGATGAGTTTGCAAGGGAGTTGCAGGGATTTGCTGCCCCAGAGCACTGTGCAGAGGTGGTACTGAATGGAGCTGCGTTTTCCACTGGCAGGACTCAGGGCTGTGAGAGCAGCAAGCCATTTGCTCCCTGAGTGCAAGCAAAGGTTACACACTGCTGTGAATGAGTCTGCATTATTCTTGCTTTCGAAAGTCTCACCCTCACATTTCAGAGTATGAGAGTTTGCTTTTCCTGGGGAGGATGATGTGTCTCCTGTCCTCTGCTCAATCCCAGTACTGTGTTTTGACAAACAGGCTGCTAGAGGCTGATGTAGGACCACATCTCCTTGTCAGTAGTGCATCTCTAAAATTTCTTATGGGTGGGTAGGAAGGGAGATGGAGAGAATTGGTCTCAGAAAGTAAAATCTAACAAGCAGCTTGTTTCTTAAAAGCCCACAAAGAAGCACTGTTTACCTCTCTGGCTGTGAGATGTATAGCTTTTTTTTTCCTTTCACCAAAGCTATAAGCCCATCGTTGAGTTCATTGATGCTCAGTTTGAAGCCTACTTGCAAGAAGAACTTAAGATAAGAAGGGTCTTGCACAACTACCATGACACCCGGATCCACGCTTGCTTGTACTTCATCGCTCCGACAGGCCACTCGCTGAAATCCCTGGATTTGGTAACAATGAAGAAGCTTGACAGCAAGGTCGGCACTTTTAACTCTTACAGGGGAGGTTTGCTGTTTGCATGGTGGAAAGGCTGCTGCCTTGGAGAGCATCTCCTCACCTTAAACAGCCCTCGTGCGGGGGGAAATGACTGAGTTGGCAGATAAATCCTGTAGATTTATTGAGCACTACAAGTTTTTGTAGGATGTATTGCAGACTTAGAAAAACTTCCAGTAAGCAAAGCTGATTCCTTCTTATCTCTGTTCTTTTCTAGGTGAACATCATTCCCATCATTGCCAAATCTGATGCCATTTCCAAAAGTGAGCTGACCAAGTTCAAAATTAAAATCACAAGTGAATTGGTCAGTAATGGGGTTCAGATCTACCAGTTCCCAACAGATGATGAGTCAGTGGCAGAGATAAATGGCACAATGAATGTAAGTGACTCAGTGCTTCTCCCCTCACAGAACAGTGCTGTCAGTGTAGCGGTTGGTGGCCCAATATTGAGGTGTTTCTTAAATCTACTTTCCCTTTTATTTTGTGTCTTAAAAACAGGTTTTAACAGGGATCCCATCCTTGTAGTGTCATCCTGGGCTAGCAGAGCCCTGTGGTAGGGTGCTGCCTCTCTGGTGGACTTTTCTAGTCAGAATACAGACTTTTCACCCCCTCTTTGTTCTCATGCATATCTGTTGAGGGACATGTAAGAAATTGGACAGTGAGGTCTGCCTGTGCAGAGCAAAGATACTCCTGGGTTATGAATTAATAAGATGAGTGTTACCTGTCTGGTGTGAGGGACAGACTGTCTGCAGACATGCACCTCTGCTCCTCACATCATGCTTTTTGCACCAAATAGTTTTACCCTCCTGGGCTGGCATTTTATGCAAAGCCCTGCCATTATGGATGTCTCCTCTTGAGCACTAGCTCAAGCACACCACAGGGCTGTCCTTGCAGCAGAGCCCTGTCACCTGGCCAGCTCTGGGACTTTATCTGCAGGGTTCCTGTTTTATTATTGATCAAGTTACTTAGCTAGGTCCTTGGTCTGGTTTGGCCTTTTGGCTCTGGTGCTCTTGGCCAAAATGGGTAGGCATAAGGGTACAGTGAGGCTGGTTAGAGCAGCCTTGAGCTGTAGCCCTTCAGCTACATCCAAGTGCTGTTTTGAGAAATAAAACACAAGGGTGGGACCAGAGGCCCAGGCAGCCCAGTGGCCCTTATCTTCCATAAACATCTACTTTTGGTCATTTTTGGAGTATACAAGAAGAGAGGGAATGTGTACAGTGCTTCACTTCCTCCAGTGTCTAATCCCGTTCAGCTCAAGAGTTTCTCTAGATTTCTGTTCGATGCATCACCTGATGGTGGGACACCCTCCACCAGTAAACTTCCAGGCTCCTGTGGCAAGGAGTTTAACTTTACACAGTTTAACCAGCAATGTGTAGAAAATAGTACGCAACTGGGGCCAGACAGGTCTCAAGGTGCCTGCAGGTGCTCATTCTGGCTCTGACCTTCCCAGCATTGTGTGTGTCTCTCTGGCTCCTTGAAGCTGGAGCAATCTGTCCCTTGGCCCCTGAGGCAGCACATCCTGACCATGGTCCCATTTTTCAGAAGGCTTTTTACAGGAAAGCAAGCAGGGGAAGTTGCTTTACTGCTGTTGATGTAGTATAGGTCTAGCTGAGGTGCTTTTGTGTCACCTCTTGATATAATATTAATAGCTGTAGAGTGTTCTGGAGAGGCCTGCAAGAAACATGAAAGTTGTCCTGACATGAGAGCTGTCAGTGGTGGTTTCCTGATCAAAGTAGTTTTGTGATGGCATCTTTGTCAGTGCTTAGTGCTCTCACTGTGTAGGAGTATGGTTAGTCCTGGAGGCAAAGATGCAGCATCACTCCATCCTTGAGGAACCAGAGATGTGATGACAAAGGGAGAAATCTTCTCCTCCTGGCCCTTCTGAGGGTGGAGGTAAACCTTTGCTTGTCTTTCCTTTCAGCCATGTCATCTGGGAGGGAATTGCTGTCTTGGGTTGTAGATGTTCTGAGTTGTGTCAGTCACTGCAGAGAGAGATCAACTCTTTAATCCTCTATTAAACTCATATCAGTCAGAATTACCAGGTTTATGGGCACTAAGCAGCCCAAAATCTGAATCTGATCAAGGAAATTTTGCAGGCCTAGAAAACTTGTATCCAAATACTGATTTTATTAGCAACATAAGACAAATCTGCTTATGCTTCAGGTCAGGAGATGAGCTTGTGGAGGGACCAAGACGATTAAAAGAGGTAGGATAGGTTGATTTAGGTTTGTCATTTAAATTGCCAATTTTAGTCATGTTTAAAATTGAGGAATGGGAAACTTTGATTTAAATCAGTTGCCTTAACCTTTGTGTTTGTACTTCTCTACAGAAAGCTTCATTGTCTTTGCCTGTTACAGATCAACATCTTTGAAAGGTTATAAATGCAGTCTTCATGCTTAAGTAGTGCTTTTTGCTGACCAGCAGCTTCTCTGGATCAGTTACTTTCTTCTTTTTTTAATTACAGAGAAAATTGAGACCGGTCTTTTCTTAATGTTCTGCTTCTAACCTGCATTAGTTGTCTTTTGCATGAAAAATAAAATTAGGATTTAAAATAGCCAAACTCACTATTTCATATGCATTTTACTCTGTTTTATCCACTTGTGCTGGATGCATTAGAATTTTTTTTCTGGAGTATTTTGCATTCCAAATTGACTTAATAAACAGAGGAAATATTGCCTGATCTGGCAGGAATTAACTGAGTGATTTAAAATCTGTGCCATCATGATCAGAAACAAAAGTATTTAACTGTGAACAAAGGCACCAAGTGAATTATATAGAAAATAATGAGATTAAACTAATCTTCAAAACGAGATGCCTGATTTTCCTTGAAACTGGTTTTGTCTTTTTGAGAATCCCACCAAGCATATATTTACAAGTTCAGAGAAAACACTGTCCAAAATTCTTTAGGTCTCTTCCCACCTAGATAGTTCTCAGTCAGCCTTCAGATACTTGTAGCAGCTGTGCTCGGTGGGGTGGATGTCTCAGCTTTAAGAGCACAACAAAGTGCAGTTGAGCTAGTGGTGCAGCTCTGCTCTGCTGCCCCCAGGGTCCCTCCTCATGGGTGTGATCCTGGATTTGGCCTCCTTTGTCCTCTAACTGTGCAGCCATCTAGATGTGGCTGCATGTAGCATCACCATCATGAGGATTTTATAAATCCATTGGCACTCCCTTGGGTTTCTCAGAAACAGTTTTGACGAAGGAGTGCGGTGGGATTTGGGAGAAGGTCAGCCCCAACGCAGCTGCAGGAAGTGTGAGGCACTGCAGAGTGTGAGCACGGGACAGGCTCTGCACAGCTCCAGGGAATGCAGAGACTTTCCCAGCTCAGGGAGGGGCAGACCTCGAGGCACATGTGAATGCAGAGGCTGACCCTGTGCAGGGACACGTTCTGCCTTTCCTTGCCAGAACTGAAGCAAGCAGGGAGGAGGGAGCTGTGACTCTGGGGGCGGAGGATGGACTTCAGTCTCATGATCCTATGGAGCAAGCTGTCTTGTGCTCCAGTGTGAGCCGAGGGAGTGGTGATGGGATAAAACCAAGAAGGCTCCAAGACCTCTGATTGCTTCTGTGCTTGTGCAGATGTTCTCCTCAGGCGTGGCAAGCCCCTGGGACAGCACCGCAGTCAGAGCCGCAGCACGCTGGTCGAGCTGTCAGTCTGATGCTAGTCTTGCACTGGCTCATCTCACCTGAGACCCTGTGGCTGGGAAGATCAGCCAGGTAGAGGATGTAGAGTGGTAGCACTAACAAGGTTTCCAAAAAGGACCCACCCTGCTCCCTCCTTGTTTTGGGCTAGTGGCCAGTGACTAGACTCCCTGAGATTAGTGTGTGCATAATGACTGTCTTGCTCAGTGGCTGTGCTAATCTCTGTGTGCTGGTGGGTCAGCCAGATTTGAGAGAGACTAACGTGGGTGTCATTAAATGTGTTCCAGGCCCACTTGCCATTTGCAGTGATCGGGAGCACGGAGGAGCTGAAAATAGGAAACAAAATGATGAAAGCTCGTCAGTACCCCTGGGGCACAGTGCAGGGTGAGTTGAGCTCTGGGATTTTCATGGCATGAATGGTGACACTTTTGCAAGAAGGCAGTGGGCTTGCAGAAAAGGATCAAAGGCCTGCTGGACTTTATTATCTCATGGAGAATTATCCTATATTAAATCCTTGTGTCAGGGCTATAGGGATAGTTTTATCTGCTTGGAAGGGCTGTTAAACCTGTTGGGGAGTAGACAAGTGGGGAATTTGGGAAGAGGTCTTTGTTTCTGCCCCCATCTTACTCCTCATCATGTCTTTTACAGTGGAGAATGAAGCTCACTGCGACTTTGTGAAGCTGCGGGAGATGCTGATCCGTGTGAACATGGAAGACCTTCGTGAACAGACCCACACACGCCACTATGAGCTGTACCGGCGGTGTAAACTGGAAGAGATGGGTTTCAAGGACACTGATCCAGACAGCAAACCCTTCAGGTGAGATCCCTGGAGGAGACAGGAGAGCTTGAGAGAGGCATTGTTGGATGCACTGCGTGCGTGTGTACGTGTGTGTCCTTGGGAGAGCATGGCAAGAACCAATGCAGCAAGAAAACCTGCCAGGTCAGATAAATCCAGGCTCCCAGCAAAGATACTGACTGAGTGAGAGAGGGTAAAAACACCAGTGTGTGTGCAGGATTGACTGTGAAACTGCAGGGATAGGAGTAGAAATATCTGTGCTGCAAAGATACAGCAGTGTTCCTCTGAACTAGTGTTTGTGGCCAGCTGGTTTCTTTGGATTGCCCACTGAACACACAGAAAAGTGCAATAGCTTACAGATCCCAAAAATCATTGGGTAAAGAAGACCTTAGGCACGTGTGGATGAGTGAGTAACAAATGTGTTGTGTGTAAGCAGTATTCATGGTGAGAGCCTGATTTCAGATGGTCAGGGGAGCCAGAGTTTGTCCCAAGTCACATCACTGGACTTTCCTTTCTTTTTAGCTTACAAGAAACTTATGAAGCCAAAAGAAATGAGTTTCTGGGAGAGCTGCAGAAAAAGGAAGAGGCAATGAGGCAGATGTTTGTCCAGAGGGTCAAGGAAAAAGAAGCAGAGCTGAAGGAAGCTGAAAAAGAGGTGAAGACTGTCTGAAGTACTTGTCTCTTCATGGTTGTGAGTGGTAGATTTACTCCCAAGTAGGTGGTTGCTGCCAAATCACTTGCTGCAGAGTGTGGTTTAGGTCTTTCTTATCAAGAACTCTAAGGTTTAACTTGGATGGGGACATTAAGGTGTTCATTCTGTAGGACAAAATTGAATCACAGTGTTTGCTGTATATACCTTACTGCACCAGGAAAGGGTCATAGTCTTGATTCTGATGGAGAGGTACAGTGTGGCAAAAATCAAGGAGAGAAGTAGCCCCTGATATTAACTTGTTATACGAAAAATATACCCATACAACTTCCTTAGCTTTGTGAAAAATCCATTGATTTACTGACCTTTACAGAGGAGTAAGGCAGAGACCCCTGGAAATGGATTTGTTAGTTTTTTTACTATTATGCTCTCCCAATCCTCTGTTCTTAGTCTGTATAGTGAAGCATCACTGAAACACTGCCTGGTCTGTAAGTTGTTGCTGAAAGAGCCTGTACCCTGCCCTTTGTCTAGGCAGTGTCAGCTCAGGGGCTAGAAATGATGTAGAGGAGGCTCAGATCGCAAGGGATCCTTCCACCTTCCTTTTTTCCTGTGAACAGAATATCTGGCAGTGCTGGTCCTGCTCACCTCTCTCCTTCCCCTTTAGCTGCATGAAAAGTTTGATCGTCTGAAGAAGTTACATCAGGATGAAAAAAAGAAGCTAGAGGATAAGAAGAAGTCTCTGGATGATGAAGTAAATGCATTTAAACAAAGGAAGACAGCAGCTGAGTTGCTTCAGTCTCAGGCTCAGCAGGCTGGAGGATCGCAAACTCTTAAAAGGGATAAGGAAAGGAAAAAGTAAGTTGCTAACCAAGTGATATTTACTTTTTGGTAATGGTTCTCCTTTACTATTTTTCTTGGTGTTCATATCTCCCTCCCGGCATAGCCAGTCCTTGTCAGGACAAGGTTTGTAGCCAGATTAAATCCCTAGTAAAACTGAGGAGTAGCTGGAAGCATTTGACCTTTAGCTGTCATCCTGAAGAACGGGGAGCAGTGCTAACCTCCCTCATTGCCTGCTGACAGCATGGGAGAGGATGAACTTGTTTTTATTCCCCAAGATTCCCCGTTCCTCTCTGGGTCTGCCAGTGTGATGAAGTGGAACCATAGTAGCTGCCAAGGCGAGAGTGTGGGTAGCAGGGGTGTCCCACTCCCTGAGAGAGGAGCATGTCCTGTCTCAGGGTCTTACTTGTTTAGGTTGGGAAAAAAACTTAGACTGTGCAAACTGTTCGGGGGGACTAACAGTTTAGAATTCCAGAATCTGCAGATCATAAGACTGCAAAATCACGGGACAGTCATAGCACCTTGTTAGCACTAGTACTTTTCTCCAGTCCTGAATCAGCTTTTTGCCCTCCACAGAAACAGTGGGAGGTACTGCATGCCTTTGGCAGGGGTTCCCCATGCCAGGGACTGGTGTGACAGGATCCAGACCCTTGTCAGGGTCCTGGGATCTGGGCTGTCTGCAGTGCCCGTGCCAGGCTCCTAATGCTCTGCAGGTGCTCAAGACCAACCAGCTGTACAGTGAAACAGTCCTCCCAGTTCACCCAGCAGTGAGCAGTTCCTTTCCTCCTCACTGTGGTACATTTCCCGAAACAGAGCATTGTGCCACCTGGGTGTGTGTACAGAGAGCAGAGCAGAGGCAAACAAGGGTCTGGCTTTGTACCATGGCCACAGTGTCCCCTGCACAAGTCCCTGGGCAAATCCAGAGTAAATCTTGTCTGTTCTACACAGTCTTAAGTACATGAAGTGCTGTTAAACTGGGCAATATGGGACGTGCCCGAAGAACTGACAACACTGTTTGTCAGGGAAAAAGCCCCTGACTGTTAAGCTTGGAATGAAATGAGACAGTAGAAGAAAGACCCAATAACGAGATACTGGTTTAGTCCTTTTAGTTTTGAGCTGGAGCTGCTTCAACGTCAACATTCTTCTGCAATGAGCAATTAGTGCTGCCCTTTCCTCACTCCTCCATTCCTTTTTCCAGTGCCTGTTTTGATTTGCTCATTTGAATTATTTTCAGGGGATTTTAATATCTTTTCAGTACTGAGGAGTCTGGGACTGACTGGGGACAGACTTCTCTCCCCAGCATGGACTGTGAGAGGAATACACAACTGAGTTCTTTCATGCTTAGAGCCCTCTGACATCTCTCACTCAGGACTGCAGACTTCAGCCCTGAGATCAGTCAGGGTCAGGAATGCAGAAAAGGGAGACAGCATGCCCTGTAGTATTACCAGCAATTAGTCACTCTGGCCCAAGTCACACTCTTGTTCCTAGTAGTGGTTCTGGTCTCAGAAGAGCTCCTTGACACCAAGCACATAGATATGGAAAAGCTTTGGTACTGCCCTTGTCGGTTAAGGGCACAGAAGACTCCATGAAATACACAGATCAGTGCTTCAGTAAGGCTTGGGAAGGCGTTAGGAGGCTTCTCTCTCCTCCAGGAAAATAGCTGTGTTAGAAATGGTGCTGCTTTCCTTGCTTTGTAACTTCTCCAGTTGTCCTTAATAATTAATTTCAGTATTTAGATCATAAATTTTTCTTAACCATTCATGAATGTCACAAGCTGTAGCTTAATTGTAGCTTGTTTACTACTGGCTGGCAGTCCACTAGCCTTTTTCTTTCACAGGTGACTCATTTAAACCCAAGCTCTGTAATTTGCACTAATCATGACTTAGTTTATTTTTTGTTGTTGTTATTGTTACATCATTATCATCATTATTAGCTCTGACTTGTGTGCTGTTTTACAGTTAGCTGCTGTTTGGCTGCATGGTGCATGAGGCACATTGTCCTGGTAAGCGTCATTAACTAATAGAGGCTCACAGTGGGATCAGTTGCTGTGCCTAAAAAAGCAGACCCTGTGCAAGTCCAGAAGTCTATAAGTATTGCCTCTGTCTTCCTCTGCTTTGCCCCTTATTATATATGCCCTACCAGCTTCTCTCTACATATGCAGTTGTAGAAAAAGGATGTAATTATCCTTAAAGATCCTCCAGAGTAAAATGCAGAGACTCAGTATTAGGATATGAAACGTGGAAAAATAAGGATTAGGTCCTCTTCCTTTTAATCTGCCCAGCACTTTGTTGGCTCTGTTCTCTTTATTCCATCTCCCTTAGAAATAAATTATATTCTTTAATCACACTAGGCCATGATGATACTATGGCAACAATTGCTATGGAGATGTGGTGCTGATGATACAGCCCAGCTAGCCATGAAAATGTCTCTTCCCTTTCTCCTTCCCTCCCACCTCTCCAAGCTGTAGTGTTAACTTGTGGTTACAGTGCAGGTGAAGGTAGATGAAGACTAGTTTCTATGCCTCCCTTCACATACTAACAGATAGTAAAGTCTGCCAAGCCTCGAGCTTTCCTTAGTCCTAAAGCACCAGAGAATCACCAAACTGTGTCTGTGTGTGTGTCTGTGTGTGTGTGTGTGTGTGTGTGAAGCTACTGCTGAGTAACCAAACCAATATTCACCTGCTGACCACCTCTAGGTGATAGTCCAAAACCACAGGAGATGATGGGCTGAACACAGAGCAGATAATGAGGGCTCTGAAGAGAGACTGAGAGACTTTATGACATTTTTAAGAGGCAAGTGGGTCATCCATGGATTGAATGTTCAGCTGTAGCAGGCAGACACAGACCCACACCCCTGGGAACCAGGCCAGGCATGCCCATGGTTAGGGTAAGGCTCAGGTAGCAGAGAGCTGTGTTCAGCATGTGTCCAGAAAGCCTGCCAGAGCACTTTGCCTGTGAATAAGGCTGGCATCTTGAGTTCCTGAGGAGGTTTGCTGGAGAGTTCCCACTGGAGCAGAGCCCGATCAAGGGTGTTATGCTGTGAGTCTGCTCTGCCTCAGTTGCTGTGACTGGCAGAGCATCTCTGCCTTCATGTGAGCAGGGATGTAAGGTGGCCACATAGGCTTGTAGATCAGATAAGGTTGCCTGAAAGGGTTGACAAACATGGCCATAAACAAGTATCTGCAGTGCCAAATGCCTGCATCTGCTGTAAAAGGGTCATTTAAACAAAGTTGTCCAGGAAATGCACCTGCCTGGCAGGAGAGCAGCATCCTCATTAGGGTTATTAGTTAAATTGCTGATGACAGTGGTATGCTTTCAGCTAGGTTGAGTGTGTTTAATTGAGCCTTTCTAATTTGCTTTTGATTCTCTGGTGAGAGGAAAAAGAAAGCTCCCCCAGGAATGTCTTGCTTCTTGATAGGGCAGCAATACTCCTTATCCAAGGCAAGGGTGACAGCACCCCAGGCTGAGGTGTGCAGGCCTCTCAGAGGAGTGACCTGTTGGAACAGTAGCACTAAACTATGGAACACCCTAAAAACTCAGCCTCAAGTCCACCTTTCCCTGCAGACAAAGCTAGGACGTACATTCTCTCCTGGATAGCCCAAATTAACTTGTGGTCTACCCTTAAATAGGTAAAAGCTGATTCCAGGATTCCATTCCCTGTTAGCTCCACCAAGGGAAATGGAAAAGCAAGTAAACATTACACTGTCAGTGAGAGGCATTTGCATTTAATTACATGGGACCTTCCACTTAACAGAAGAGCTTCAGAAGGGTCTTGCACTGACTCGAACTGGAGCTTGCAGTCATCTTGAGCTGTCCAGTTGAATGAATGTCTCTGCTGCCAGTGGGAACTGTAAAACAATGAAAAGAACAATTCTCTGCTTATCAGGCTCTGAATGTGGAAAAATAAGCTCAAAGAATAACAGTGTTCATTCTGGTGCTGAGTACAAAGGCACAGCTAAAGTGCAGTTAGAGTGAACATTACTGATTTTTGTTGGTTTTGGATTGCTTTTGGCAGTCCTCATAACTGTACACAGTTGTGTGCTGGGCTTTGAATCAAATGAAGTTCTTTGTTCCCACTACACAAATGCAGACAGTGCCTTTTTCAATGGGCATTTGTCGTGGCTAAATTAAATATGTATATGTGGTACTTTTCCAGAATCCAGAAAAACACTCTCCATATTGATCCATAAAGTATTGCAGGGCTCCACTGTTTTGCAAGGATACAAACAAGTCACAGTTGATGAGTCCTGTAGCTTGCAAAACTGTGAAAGCATTGTTTTAAAAAACAAATTTGGTTCATCCCACTGCTGAGTGTGCGTGTGTGTGCATGTGTGTGCCTGCATAAAGCATGTTTTGTAGTCAAATTAAACCTTATTAACACTTGGCAACATTTCCTTTTTTTGTGTGTGTGTGTGTTAGGAAACATTTGTGGGTTTATTTTGGTTTTTTTTTTTAGCATTAATCCATAAAGCCATTAACCTGCCTTTTTCTTTCATTTTCAGTTCAGGTTTCCTGTAGAACCTTTCCCTTGGCACCAGAGGCGAATGCCACACGCGGTTAACATGCAGCTATGCCATTGTGCCTGTTTGCTCACCTTGCCCATTGCTCCCTCCCTGCACTCGCTGTTCTGGTTGAAGCCAGAGCCCTTGGCTGTGGTGGTGGTTCTTGTGAAGAACTCCAGCTGGCCAGAGGTGCTTGTTGCTGATACCTCTTGCCCTGCGTGCAGCAGCAGGCTGCCCAGTGCTCCCAGGATAGTGTCCTATTTTCCCACTGCTCAGCTTTTCATCTCCCTCCCCATGCTGTGCAAGGGCTGCTTGAGGTGTGCAGTTAGCTCCTGTGGTGCACAGCCCAGTGCTGCTGTGGGGTGGGACCTGCTGCCTGAGGAGACTGGCTGCCCTTACCCCGTATTAATTGCCGTCCCTAAACCCTGTTACCCCCTGTGCTGCCATGTGTGACTCAAATAATTTTCAAGGACTTTTTACAAAACTTGACATCCTCACAGTCATGTGCCTGAGTCCAAACCTCTAGTCTCCAGGCTTGGGGAGTTCTCCAGTTTGGATCCACGGTTTGCAACTAAGTGTTCTCTGAATGCTGCAGGGGTCACGAAGGATCTCTTGCCTTGTCTCCCTCTCAGTGTGCTGGCCTGGATGCACATCCTGGATCCAATCTCAGGGAAAGCTGGTCACCTTGCTGTACATATCAGTGTTTCTGAAGAAAGACGATGCTGTTTCTCTGACTTTCTTCTCAGTGATTCCAACAACTGGTCTTAGTGCAAAAAGTATTACCTTTATTTTTTTTATCTGTTTAGAAGTGTACAGATGTTGGCAGGTTCCTTCTCATATTTTCTATTCAGCAAAAGCCTTGTTTTTACTGCAAGATTTGCACTAAAAATGAGGAGTTTTTGCTCCCTGGGCCTGGAGTTCGCTCTGGCCAAGTGCAGCTGTGGTTTGCCTGCAGGTGCCTTCTCTGTGTATTTCTGGATGAGTTTTGTTTTTAAATAAAGAGTTGGTCAGACAGTGAATTCTGGTTAACATATACTTCTTTTGTTTTTTGTTTTCTTTGCCCTTCTTTTGCAGTAACCCATGGCTCTGTACTGAGTAATTACCCCTGAATGCAATGGGCTGGAATGGACCTTCATTTACTTGTTAAATCGGAGGGTCTAATAAAACCTGACAGCATTTCAGCTGTGGCCTTTCCAGGGCGTTACACTTACTCTTTCCTATATGCTCGTTGTGATTGTGTCTTTACTATGTACTTCTGGTGTTTATTGCTTTTATTAAACATTGTAAAATTAGTTCTAACAAGGTTTTGGAGGCTGCAACTTTAAATCCTGCCATATTTTTTTTGCCCTGCAATTAATGGATTCCCTTTTTTCCTGGTCTCTCTCCACCCAGATAAATAAGGGATATGGAAATAAGTTCTGTGAGTTATTTTTGCTGGCGAAATAACAAAGCAGTTTAAATGTATTTATTGGTGACGCTAAAATGACAGCACCACCTTAGTTTAATTATCACTTAGTTTAGAGATAAAGCACACTTTTCTCTTTATACTTGGTGTCATTTTCATGACATCATCTGTCTTTTTTTAATTTGCTTTTGTTTTTCCTTTTGCTAATCCATGCTACCTGAAGACTAGCATGTAAATCCTCATTTGCATTTCAGACATGCTTGTTGTGGCCCTGGTCCCTCACTCTCACTCTGGGCAGGCTCAGTGCTCTCTGTGGGGGTGAATCCACACATCCTGGCCCTGCTGGAAGATCAGGGTGCCATGCTGCCAAACAGCCTCCACAAGAGCCCTGCAAACCCTGGGTTTGTGGAAGATGAGCACAGCTCATCAGGCCTAGTCCTGATGGGCAGTGCTAGTTTGGTGCTGAGTTTGGCCCGAGAAGTGATCTGGGTGATGCTAAGGTCCCACAGGCAGTTCCTGCACACAGTGTGTGTCAGCCTGGCTCCTGCTCAGAGCACCAGCCACCCAGACCAAACCACGTTTCCAGCGCTGAGGGCACTCCAAACTCTTGATTGCAATATATTTTCTCAGGTATTCTGCTTCACCATAAATACAACTTTATTTCCCATAGAACTCTTTGATTGTTTTGTGGTTGGGGTTTGGGTTTTTTTAGCAAAATATTTTGAGTATTTACTTCTTCCTCTGCTGTTGAATGTTACCCTGCTCACAAACCAGCCAGCATCAATCTGATTTCTACTTTTTCTGCTAGAAGAACCATTCAGTGTGGCTTTTTTTATCATGCTGCAGGTTCCTGGCTGGTCTTCCTGACTGATTGCCTTATTAGAATGTTATTTAAAGCTATGCAAAGTCTTTTTAAAGACTTTAACGAAAAAAAAGTTTTTACTTGTGTGATTTCCTTGAAGTACCTGAGGTACCACAAGGAGGTTCCATCTCTCCTGTCAGCTGTTTTCATGTTGCATCTCTTTTTCTTGCTTTTTGAATGTCTTTCTCTTTTTTGCTAATACTCTGTTTTTTTCTCTTTTTTTTTCCCCTTTTCTCTCTCTTTAGCTTTTTTTAATCTGTCTTCGCCAGCTGCACTGTGTCTGAGGGAGAAGACTGCCACTTCTAGAAGAGTTTAAGGGTCTTATGTCTGGGGAGGGGGGAACAAATCTTCAGTGTTAGTGTCCTGGAAAGAAGCTCTTTTACTGACTTGCATGATACCTAAAATTGAAGTGTCTTGTAATTTGTGTGACAAGACAGGGTAATACAGGGGGAACTGGTTGTTACCTGAAGAGCGACAGAAATGTGATGTTTGGACTAATGATGTAGCGAATACATTTCCCAGCGTTGTTTCTGGCATATTTTTTTTCTAATGTTGTCTTTAATAATATAAATGTCACGGGCTTCCCTGGGGTGCGAAGCCTAAGGAATATTTTCAATATGCTGTTGTTTGATTGGTTTTGGAAACCGTGCAAGGAAATACAAACACGGTGCAACTTGCTGTGCCGGCAGCCACGAGATACTGAGTTTTGACAAAGAAATAAAGCAAGCAGAACTGTGTGTTTCCATTGGTGTCCTCCTGTGTCTCACCCCCTTGTCAAACAAGCCTCATTGGCTGGTGGACGTGGGTCAAGTGGTACTTTCTGTTTCCTGAC